ACTTTGGACATATTGTCAGGAGGGACCAGTCACTGGAGAAGGATATTATGTTTGGTAGGTAGCAGGGTCAGAGAAAAACGGGAAGACCCCCAATGAGATGGATTGGCCAAGTGGCAGCATTGATGGACTCAAGCATGGCAACAGCAGTGAGGTTGGCCCAGGTTCGGGCAGTGTTTCATTCTGCTTGCATAAGGTCACTATAGATTGGTACTGACTCAATACCACCTAACAACAACAGCAATCCTTCCTCTTTGTTCCCAACCTTTGCATTCCAATCACCAGTAATGATCAATACATCCTGATTCCATGTTTGATCAATTTCGGATCAAAGAAGTTGGTAGAATTCCTCTATTTTGTCCTCACTGGCTTTAGTGGTTGGTGCATAAATTTGAATAATAGTGATATTAACTGGCCTTTCTTGTAGGTGCATGGATATTAATCCTATCACAGACAGCATTGTACCTCATTATGATGTGGATATTTTATTTTTGACAATAAATGCAACACCATTCCTCTTGAATTTGTCATCGCCGCTATAGCAAACCATGTGGTTGTCAGATTCAAAATGGTCAATACCAGTCCGTTTCAGCTCACTAATGCCTAAGATATCCATGTTTATGCATTCCATTTCATTTTTGACAATTTCCAAAGTTCCTAAATTCATACTTCATACATTCCACGTTCTGATTATTAATGGATGTTAGCAGCTGTTTCTCTTCATTTTGAGTTGTGCCCCATCAGCAAATGAAGGTCCTGCGGGCTTTACTCCCAGGGGCTTTACTCCATTCAAGTGATCAGGTCAACTCTACTTTGAGGAGGCATCTCTTCCCCAGTCACATTTTGAGTGCCTTCCAACCTGAGTAGCTCATTTTCTGACAATATATCTGACAGTGTTTCTCTGCTATTCATAAGGTTTCCAGTGACTAAAGATTTGGAAGTAGTTTATCACTCCTTCTTCCTAGTCTATGTTCATCTGGAAGCTCACCTGAAACCCGTCCACCATGGGTGACCCTGCTGGTATTTAGAGGAATACCTTTGGCATAGCTTACAGAATCACAGCAACTCACAAGCCACCACAGTACGACAAACTGACAGACAAGTGTGAATGTGGCCAGTTAGGAAGATTATATTTCAAACTGATGGTGAATTATCCATAAATTCAAATTATTGACAGATTATTTATATCATCTACATTGTTGGTGTTAAGTGCTGTAGAGTCAGTTCTGATTTATAGTGACCCTGTATAGGTTTGAACCTTGTGGTTCAAACTGAGCTTGTAGATCAGCCAGTGCTGTATCCTACAGTGCCATACCAGGACTCCATTATCTATATTGTTGTAGTTGTTAAGTACTATCAAGTCGGTTCCGACCCGTAGGGACCCTGTATAGGGTTTCTGAGGTGTGGATGGTGAGCTTGAACCGTCAACCTTACAGTTCAAAGTGACCTTGCAGTCCAGTGCATTAACCCACAGCACCACACCAAGACTCCTGTATTAGTAGCCATATATTCCATTAGGGATCACCTTTTTTTTTTATTACTCAATTTTTAGAATTTACAAATGGCTAGTGCCTCAGCATTGCAGAAAGACTATACAATTTGGGAGATTTAAACATTTACTTTAAAATATACTTACTATTATAAATATATACTAGAAGTAATTTTATGAGCACAGCATGTCTTTCAAAGAACTAACATGTACTTAAAGGTGAGTATATTGTTTTTTCTCCCTCTCAAGTAAGGAGATCCAGTATTGGATTTATTTAGAGCAAAATTCTTTAAGTAATTATTTATTTGCCTAGTTTTAAATAAATTACTGATCACTAAAACTGCCCCCTTTTTTATTTGTAGTATGGATTATTTTAGCTTTGCATCTTTGCCAGTACCTGCTGATGGGGAGATTTGCTTTCATATCAGTGAATCATAAATAATAAGCTAATTTTTATTATAGGTAAGAGTAAAAACAAGTTTTTATTTTAGAAAACAGGAAAATGAATATGATATGATTTCAAAACATCTCAGGAGTATAAAACCTTATAAATTATGCATGGATGTTAACAATATAGAAAATATTTATATCACATTTCATAATGTCATATTCTTTTACATAAGAATTGCTTTGAAGAATGCTTTAAAGTACATGAGCCAATCAGTTCACTATGATAATAAAGAAAAATAAAAAAACTAGAGAAAGAATGGGACAAGGAGATAAAACAAACAAACCCACAAAAGCCACTGATTTGTTATAATAAATTTACTACATTCAACTCACAGGAATTATTTACTAAGTAGCTATTATGAGCTTTATGGGTCCTGGTGTAGTACTGTAGGAAAAGTACTGGACCGCTAACCTTGCTAGTAGCAAGGTCAGTAGTTCAAACCCACAAGCCACTCTCAAAAAATCCTATACAAGCCAGCTATTAATGACTATGCAGAACACAACAACCGCATATTGAAATAACAGATTATTTGGAGTCCTGATGTGGCACTGTAGGAGAAGCACTGGACTGCTAGCAAGGATGGTGATTCAAGCCCACCAGTGGCTCCTCTGAAACCCTATTACAGTGTCGCTCTGAGTCGGAAAGGGTTCAACAGCATTTAACAACAACACTGAGCTTTACACTCTACAAAACAATGAGTTGATCTAAAAGTGATAAAGGTGGAGGATGGAATGAGAGAAGAAGGATAAGGACAAGGAAAAGGAGAAAACAGAACACAACCGCAACTACCTTCTTCATCATCATATGGAAGACTTTCCAATTTATGTGCTCATGTTCCAGTTATGGAAACACTCTAAAGTCTGACATTAAATGTACATAGCAAGTGTGTCTTTCAATTACAAAATGTGTAATAAGGACTTCAAATACCCTGAAGAACTTAGGCCATTTTGAAAATTAGTACAGTATTGAATATCTCTGGAGATTCCTGCAGTTGTTTGGGCAGCTACCCCATGTCCTATTCTCAACAGCTGGCTGAGTATCCTGTTATGTGGTGCTGTTAGGGGTAAATGTACACCACCTGTCCTTCATTTACCTCTTTCTGCAGGCAAGAGTCATCCATTACATGAAAAATCACTTCAAATAGAGATGTTTTAAAGGTTTACACCTTTAAAAATAAGTTTTCAGAAAAAATAAGCACCAACCCTGCTCATACCGGTTTGAAATTTCTAAGAACTAGTTCTTAACACCTTATCATGACAAAGGAAAGCACTTCTGGCACTATGGCTTTAATGGCTGGCAACATAAAAATAACAAGGCATTGAATACTGAATAAACCTCAGCCTTAAGAGGCTGGAAGTAGGAGAGTGGAGGGGGAGGTAGGAAGGACTCAAATTAAGTAAATCCCTGCTAATGCAATCCATGTTAATCAACTACTCTAAATTCTGTTGTCTTTAATAACCCTGAGGTTTCTCTTACATTCCAAAAAAAGAAGTGTGAAAAAGGTGACTGACTTCAAGTCTCAGATTGCTTTACAAAGAGTGGCTATCTTGCAACTGGGTGGGGGTGGGGTGGGGATGAGGGGGAATGATGGGATATGGTTGGAATGCAGAAAGAGTTTGAACTCCAACACAAGGGAATCTCACAATTTCCAACAAGTGTGTTTACAAAAATGGTAACTCCCACAGCATTTTGTACTTCTTAGTTGGGTTTGATAGTTCATTGTGATGGCCACACAGAACTCAAACACCACACTAACAGTTCTGGGATTTATTAAGGTTATGAGTCACGCTGCTAACCTCAAGGTCAGCAGTTTGAAACTACCCGCTGTTCCTCCAGAGAAAGATAAGGCTTTCTGTTCCCGTAATGATTTACAGCCTCGAAAAAAACGCTATTCAGGATTACAAATGAGTCAGGATGGATTCCATAGCACACACCAACAACAACAGGGAAGTTGACAGGTAAAAATTCAGGATTAGAAATGTTCAGGTCAGAGTTCTCTCAGTTGGGACTGCCTCTTCCCAGCCATGCCCACAGGCTGGCCTCTCTCTGGTCCTTGACCCTCAGTCATAGGCTGCTATTCCTCCGACTTCACAGCTCTGTCTTCTGGATCCAAATGACACAACCTCCTCCTTGTTTTTCTTCCTCATTGATGGTGAGATACCCTTCCTGCTTCTGAGATGGCTTATTTAAAATCCACACTAGAGTCCCAAGTTTTTGAAATCACAAAGATCCTTGTTAACAATCACTGACAACTGAATCATGCATTCCTATGAGTATTTTCTTCTACCTTCTCTTACTCAGACCCATCAGGAAAAAGAGTTGGTGGGACTTAGAAAGGCATGGTTAGAAGAAATCTATTAAATAATTCACTGCACTGTGGTACTTGACATGGTTGATGTAGGTGCGAGGACTAGAAAATATACAAATTAGGGAGCTAATCATAGTTCATGAAAGAAGAATTGGAAGGATCTTTAGGAGTCATTTGATATAATCCCTCACTTTTGCAGTAGGAAAGTGAGGCCCAAGGGATGAACTAACTTGTCTAAGACAATTTAATGACCTAGTGATTATTCCCTGTCACCTCCTTCTGTTCTTGAAAACTATGACACAAGTTTCCAGTGGTGACTAATATGTGGAAATCAGAGTTGTAACAGCATTCATTAGAAATATGTGATATTTTCACTTTGTCATTCTCTAATTACAAAGGAAACTAATCATTTCACTCACCTATAGGGAAAAACTCGTTCATTTTCTTTTTGTAGATTTTGAAGTCGACTTCTAAGAAGACACAAAAGATGATCCGATCCACCTAGAAACAAACAAGAGATGCTGAAATATGAAACACAATATGGCAACTGCCTTCCCAAAATATGGTATTGGAATAAAAACAAATTGGAACACCTCCTACAGATTTTTGGCTCTATACTGCTAATGATATCAAGGTATTGAGTGATGTTCAAAGTTGTGTATGTGTGTATATGTGTACAGGCATGCACACTCATGCTGAGCTCTTTTATAGAAAGTTAATATGTGAATCAAATAAATAATAAATGACAACAAGCCATGCTTAAGCAAGCCCTAAATAAGATCTGATAATTCAACAGGATAGCTAGACTTCATGTCCTATAAAACAGTCACAAGAGGTATATAATAGAATGACAATAAAGTATGTCAGTAGACAAAGAGCCCTCTGTCCTATCCTTTTCAGGCAAATATATTTATCAAACCTGTTAGTATTTGAAGATGGCCTAAAAACTTCAATGCAAGTCAATTTGCATGAAATCACTTCTTTTGGCTTAATACACTAAGAAACACAGCAGAAATAAAAGATAATTAGTTAACAGTGACTTGAGGTCAGGATAACATTTAGTTTGATGGCTACTGTTGAATAAGTAAATGTCACTCAAAAGTAAAATGTGTGTGCAGTCCCTTTTATATATTTTGGGAGAGCTTCTACACAGTAAGGGTTTTTTTGAAACATTCAGTGATCTGGTAAACAGAGAGGAGAGATGGAATATACAAAACAGCTCACACATATATGATATTAAACCAATATTTCAGGACTTCCAGTTTTGGGGTGGTAGAAGTAGAGACAGGTAGGGGCAGCTCCTCAGCAGAGGTGCAAAAGAACCAGAGAAGGCACTTTCCCAGGGCAGCTTCAGAACTTTGCATTTAATATAAGGTGCGGGCCATCAGTTTTCAGCACCCACTGGTGGGGAAATCTAACTGTGGAAGGAAAGCATGGCAATTTCTGAATCTATAGGGATGCTGCCTGCAGGCCCCATTGGCCTGGGCTGAGATCAGAGGGCGGGGCAACAGCCTGGCTGATACAGTGATCACACAGCACTAAAAACCATGGAGCAACAGCTGGAAAAAGAGGTGTGATGGATTTTATACTTTTCTTTCCTCCTTTCCTCTGTCACACCCTGTCTGCCCAGCCTGGACACCTTCAGGCAGGTAGAAACGTACCCCCAAAGGGTACAGCATTTCACCCACAGTTTTCCCACGGCACAGAGAGGAGGTCCCTGGGCACCCTAGTGGTCCCACAGCTTATCCTTCAGCTGCTTCTTATGACGTCTGACTGTGGTACCCAGTCCTAAAGTTGGCCTGGGTGGGACCCTTTATTTCTGCCTTACCTGCCAAGAAACAGCAGGTCTGGCCATACAGCCAACCATGTTTGCACTTTGTAAAACCATAACATAAACGGCAAGATCTAACACCAACTACTATATACAAGGGCACAGCTATTTTGAGAATTACGCCATGCATAGCAGATGCCTAAATGACCTTCAAAGATAAAAATAGTGGACAATCTTTCTTCCATTCACTTCTCAGTACCTATCTGCACACCTCTAAGGTGGTGACTAGAGAAGGGGCCTGAGCGAGTGGACACCCCCACCAATTGCTGGAGGTTTCTACTGTGCATGCTCACTGACCTGCATGGCAGAGGCTACTGGACAGTCAGCTACCGTTTTAAATTTGTTTTTGAGTTGTGGTTTTTGTCTCTGCTTTTATATTGTTTCTGTTGTGGGCCTTTTGGTTTCACTTTTTTCTTGGGGGTGGGAGCTTTCTCTCCCTATGTTACCCAAGGAGAGACAGCAATCAAGGCCATATAGCCAAGCTACAAGCATACCCATAATATTCCATCATCTGGACAGGAGCCAATATCAGTTGCTAGACATTATATATGAAAGTGGAAGCCTATCTCCAGATCACATCCATCAGGAGACACTCAGTAAGCTTAACAACAGAGCAACATATGTTCATTTAATCATTGAAAACGCACCTAACTATTGAAAATGTCCATGTAAAAACAAGGAAAGATCTCAGCACATGTACAAATCCAGAAAAGAGTAACTGAGACATATGAGGTGGAGGCAGACATAGACTTCCCATTAGAAGAAGAGCAGGCTTTGAATCTTCCTGAGAAGGAAATATTGTTACAGTGAAAGTTATATTGACCAATGTAACAGAATCAAGAATCTAGAAATTAACCCATCCACATACACCCAACTGATTTTTGACAAAGGGCCTAAGACTATTGCAAGGGGAGGAGATATTCTCTTCAATAGATGATGCTGGCAGAACTGGAAAGTGATATGCAAAAGATTGAAACAAGACCTTTACCTCAAACCTTCTGAAAAAACAACTCAGCATAGATTAAAAACCTAAATGTGAATCCCAGAATTATAAAGGCCATCAATGAAAAAAATATGCACAAATGTGAGGGCTCTAATACAGGGCACACGCAGACTACCAAATATTGTGAAAATTACGCAAACAAAAGTAGACAAAATTGATGAGTGGAACATACTAAAAAATTTAAACTTATGTGCAACAAAAGACTTCACCAAAATAGTAAAAGGGAACACACAGAATGGGAAAAAATCTTTCGCAACAATGCATCAGACAAGGGACTAATTTCTAAAATCTGTAGGAAACTACAACAACTCTACCAATAAAAGGACAGACAACTCAATTAAAAAATTGGCACAGG